GATGTGCTGTTAAGTTTAAAACCTGGCTTGCTGGTGGAGGTAGTAGTAACCTTGATTTGTAGTATGTGACAATTTTTTGGGGGCAAGTACTAAAACCCTCACTAAGCCTCCCTATCGACCACTTCAAGTTATCAACTTCATGCCTTTGAACACAGAGTTAAGAAATGCACAAGTACGCACCTTTAGTATTTCCATCATAAAGACACAATAGACATAATGCCAAGAGCAGAGATAAGAGTAAAATGTACTAGAATATTTAGTAACTGATGAGTTATTTATTCTTTGTTTTTTTAAATATATTTAATTATAAGTTTATATAACTCAAGTTTTTAATTAAGGTATCTAAAACAGTCACCCTTTTAGAGTGTACAATTCAGTGGTTTTTAGAATATTCATAGAGTTGTGCAACTATCGTTGCTATCTAATTTCAAAACATTTTCACTGCCCCAAAAAGAAACTCCATATCCAACAGCAGTCACTCATTTCCCCAACCCCATACACCCTGGCAACCAATAAGTCACTTTCTGTCTCTATGGATTTGCCAGTTCTGGATATTTCATATATTCAGAATCATATACTCTGAGGCCTTTTGTGTCTGACTTTTCACTTTGTATAATGTTTTCAGGGTTCATCCATGTTGTGGCATGTATCTGTCAGTTCTTCTTCACTCCTTTTTATGGCTGAGTAATGTTCCATTATATCCACGTACCATATTTTATTTATCCATTTAGCAGTTGATGGGCATTTTAGTTATTTCCACTTTTTGACTCTTATGAATAATACTGCTGTGAACATTCACATTAAAGTTTTTGTGTGAACCTGTTTTTGTGCTCTTGGATATATACCTAGGAGTTGAACTGCTGGATCATACTGTGACTCCGTAACTTTTTACAAAAGTCTTAACTGTTTCCCACAGTGGTTACACCATTTTATATTCCCACCAGCAAAGTATGAAGATTCAAACTGTCTACATCTTCTCCAATACCTGTTATTTTCCACTTTTAAATAATTTAATTTTAATGTTTGGTTTTTTTTTTAAGCAATCAGCTTGCAAAATTTTCCACAAGTTGAACTGTTGTCAAGGGCTGGTATGAGCCAGCCCAGCACACCACTGACACAGCCCTCCTCAGAAAATCCCACCGTCCTTCTCTGTAGTCAGCTCCACTTCTTTCTGCTGACAAGGGCAATACTCAACAGAGTTGGATCTCCTTCTTACATCCTGCCTATAGAAAACCGAAACAGAAGGCCTCAGGGTTTTTTTTTTTTTTTTCTCTTTTGGAATTCAGAAGATTTTTGATTCTGGATAATCAGAAGGTTTTCAGCTCCTACCAAGCACTCTGGGCAGAACAGTGTGTTTTCTCCTCCATTTGTGTTGAGAAACAAAAATAAAACCCAAAATGTATCTTCCTGACACCCAGATGTATCTTCTGGATGAGCTCTCAAGCAGTTGCTTCAACAGGGCCAACAGCTGTGGTCTGTTTCAACATAATTTGATGTAATCAGGGTTAATTTTGATGATGCAGTAACTCTGAAGGCTGTTTTTAAACTGGATTACTGTTGGGTCAACAATCATGTGGCATTACATTTAGTGGCTGAAACAAAAGCCAGAATTAAAACAGTTTTCCCCCACCCCTCTTCTAAATGACAGCCCCACTAGGATTAGAAGTTATGAAGCACATTTAACACAATTAGCTAAAAAAAGAAAGTAGCTGCAGTTAAATTACATGCAAACTTCTCCAAGGTCCAGATTGTCCACTGAGAAAAGAGCTGGAAACTTATTTGTTGTTGTTGTTTTCTTTTCCTAGAGTGGTTAGAAATACGTTGGCAGCAGTCATTATAACTTAATATTTGGAACAATTTCTGAAGAGCAGAATCTTTTATCCTACTTTAAGAGATCTGGCCATCACAGTTGCTGGCCAGCCCAACAGCAGGGTCTGCGCTGCTCTAGGCACACACACTTTCTTATTCGGTCTCTCCCAGTTTTCTGTTTTGGCTAGCTTTGAAACACAGCTAAGGCCTGTGACAAAAGTTCTGGAAAGCAGAATCTTCAAAAATAGATGTCTTGGGAAGCTGCCAAATGCACTGGGTTCTTCAAAACCTCTTTAATCCAATTCTGTAGTTCAAAAAAGGTCTGATGTGTGTCCAATCTTCTCTGTAAATAAGCCTCCACTCATTTGTTTTCTGTTTTTGTGACTTAGGATAAGAAGAAACTTGAAAAGCGAAGAAGTCAACACTCTCTTCTCCTGTTGCATCTTATTTATTAGGAATTCCTCATCTAAATAATTTCCTGATCAACAAATATCCTGGGATAACATGCAGGTGTGACAAAAAGGTAATGAGACTTAAAAA